TCCATCATGCAGCAAAACGCGGAATTACGGGAGACAATCCAAGCTCCGGGTATAGTTAAAATCGCATGTTATTTTCTGACATGTAAAAACATTCCATGTGTTTTTTATGTTTTGAGCGTTGGTAAAGCACCTTTAATTTTTGTAATGCTTTAGCTGTCTACAAAGCCATTTATTCGCATTTGATTTTATGTGGTATTTTTGTAATGAATTTTATGCCACCGAAATTGTGTGATCCTATGCTATGCGTTTCTGCAGCAGTAAAAGTTAAACGTGGTTGTTTCTAGATATAATTGTAGTATTTAACGTACCTAGTGCTTTCTCCGTTTACGATCGCGTAATTTCACAGCCCTATGGTCAATTTCGGTGGCAATGCATTGCCTTGCTGTTTTAAAATGCGGACGTGCACAATGGCATTGTATTGAATAGTGCACTTGCCCATTTTAAAGCATGTATAAACTCGAAAGGGAGTCGTTGGGTGCAATGAAGTTGTTCATTTGCAGATCGGGTAGCATGCATAACGGTTGGAGCTGAGCCTCTTTTGTCCCAAATGCTAGCAATTTTTTCCGATTTCCCAAAAGACTCCACTTTGTAAAAGAGTCGATTTGCTACGTTTAAAGTCAATCGAATCCAACTTCTAGGAGGTGTACACACCACTTGCCTGCCAAATACTGTGTCATTGGTTTTCACTGACTGACATTTTGGCCTGTTTTTGTAAGGTCTGTTCAAAAGGCCATTTCGGGGCCGTGGTTTGCAACTGTCTCAATTACAATATCAAAGACACGAAGTTAGGTGTTTTTTGCTACCCTTTTGTTTAGTTTTTCGCCGTAAACTTTATTGTGCTTTCTGTTTTGATGCTGAGTTGTCTGCCTTAAAGAATTAAGTAGGTGTTTTAATTGCAGGAGAGATTAGTGAGGAGGCCGCAGCTCGGATGGATGAGGACGCGGAGGAGGAAGAAAAAATGAGGTTAGCAAATGCCTCTACATGCTTTATATTGCAGGCAAGAGGAGGAACGCAAGTGGTTGGAGCGTGAGCGCATTGCACAAGAAATGTTTGCCCAGAAGAAGGCCATGGAGGAATTGGAGGACGCCAAACGCAAGCGTCTTGAAGAAGAGGTGAGCTTCAAACTTGTTCCTCCTTCCTTGAAAACGCTTCATTTTACGTCGTATTATATTCCACTTTTATCTTCATATTGCAGGACAGAAATAATAAGCAGAATAAGGTCGCTAAAGTTCCAGTGCCCACAATTGAAGAAATTCAGGTACGCTGGACTCGTTAATTATACACATAGTTCATATTTGTGTAATAGCGGAATATTTTGTACGCAATTTGCTACCCATGAGTGCCTCAGATGGCGACTGTCGATTCGGCAGTCTCGTTTGGTATTGCACAATACACCAGCGAAAAACCCATAGACTTCCGACGGAAGTCGTTCCTTCCCCACGGAATTTTAGCAGACGAACCTTTCCGCCTGTCCGGTTGACTGTGGGTGTTAGAGTGGGGACTGTATGTGTGTAATAGCATGCTGTCGACAGAATTCCTTGAATTGATGCGATGTGAACTGTGATCCGTTGTCTGAGGCTATTGTTTCCGGAATCCCATGCCGACTGAAAATCTGGGACAGGACCTGTAATGTCCTCGTTGTTGTGGGGGAAGTCATTGGGACGATTTCTGGCTATTTTGAGTTGTCGTCCACCAGCACAAGGAACGAGATTACGTTGATCGGTCCCACGAAGTCGATATGGTTGCGTAGCCAGGGTTTTTGTGGTTGTGGCCAAGGGACTGAAGGAACCATCGGAGGGTTCTTGGCGGCCTGCTGGCACTGGCGACAACTCTTGACTAGGTCTGCGATTTGCTGATCCATATTTGGCCAGTAAGCGTAGTCGCGGGCGATAGACTTCATGCGACCGATGCTGGGATGACCAGTATGAAATTGACGAAGAACTCGCAAGCGCAGCGATTTGGGCACGCGATTCGTTACATTTGGGTGCTAATTTTCGCACAAAACAGCTTCTTTAATCAATATTTCGCACCAAATATGAGCGCTCTTCGGAATCACCAGCGAAATTGTTGGTGATGGGTGGAGTTTGTCTAGTTGAAATCGCAGATGTTCAGGTTATAGTGGGTGGCGCCATGCATTCCGCATCGACCTGCCACACCCTCTAAACAACCAACGTATAAAAAGGGAGCCACGCCAGATATTCGTTGCGATTTCAACGGAACACATGGGTCCTTGTCTTGAAGAGGAGGTGATCTTCAAACCGGTTCCTCCATCCTAGAAAACGCTTCATTTTACGTCGTACTACATTCCACTTTTATTTTCATATTGCAGGAGAGAAATAAT